GTTCATCACGAAGATGAGGAGCAACGAATGCAGGGCGAGGGAGCCATTCTGAGTGTACAGCCTTCAAGAAATGATAGTCCAAGGTCTCGAAAAGCATTCCTCCCCATCGGCGAACTCTCCGTAGTCGACCCAAATGCAATGAACGGACTAATGGAAGACGTTCTTTCCGGGGAAGAAATGGTTGAAATCCACTTAGAGAAGCCGGCGAAGACTGCGGCACCCGAAATGAACAACTCACACCAAAGAAGAGGACTCCGCAAGTTTCGAACACTAGCATGCATGTACTGCAAAGGAGACCACAAACCGGCCGAGTGTGGAAAATACAAGACTCCGCAAGAACGCGCTCAATACCTACGAGAAAGGAATCTGTGCCAGTTATGCGCATCAGCACACCATGTAACAGCAGATTGCCGCAGGCAACCATGCTTCCACTGCAAAGGCCTGCATCACACATCGTGCTGCTTCAAGGCCGCAGTGAATCCAACGACATCACCGTCACGCGTCAGTGGAAATAATTCTCATCAGAAAAGAGAGGAAAATCCACAAAGGACCGAAAAAAGGGGTGTAAAAACACAAAACAAGGACCGCAACTAGAGTCAATATAGTGGCGGACGATAGGACAAGCCAAGTTCATCACGAAGATGAGGAGCAACGAATGCAGTGCGAGGGAGCCATTCTGAGTGTACAGCCTTCAAGAAATGATAGTCCAAGGTCTCGAAAAGCATTCCTCCCCATCGGCGAACTCTCCATAGTCGACCCAGATGCAATGAATCTTAGAAAAATTCAAGTGCTGATCGACACCGGAGCAGAAATGTCCTTCATTGAAACCAACTTAGCAAACAAGCTAAGTTTATCAACAACCGAGGAAAGGTTGTTGAGCTATCACACTTTCGGGTCAGAGAAAGTACAGAAGATGCAGTCGCGTCGAGTTCAGTTACCAGCATGGGACAACGACGGTCAATTGAGCTATCACACTTCCGGGTCAGAGAAAGTACAGAAGATGCAGTCGCGTCGAGTTCAGTTACCAGCTTGGGACAACGACGGTCAACTTCACATGTTGGATCTGCTAACAAGCGACATATTTATGAAAGATTTTGCGGTTCCACCTCTATCAGAAGAAGACGAAGAAGCTCTTCGATCACTCAATCTGCAGCCACCATTGAAAATGGTTAGGAACCAACAAGCGAAACCAAGCATCCTACTGGGATCTGACCAAGCATGGCAATTTTTCAAAGCTAACTGTTCGCACGCTCAACTCCCATCAGGTCTTCATGTTTTACCAACCACGATGGGTAATATTCTTGCAGGACAGTTGAAAGAAAAACAAAAGATTCTGCATTTACGTCTCAATAGTGAGCCTGAAGAACTCACCCAGTGGGACAAGTATTGGTCATTAGAGCCACAAGTGAATATGGTTCAAGAAGACGTGAGAGCTCCAGAAGACATGGATGACGAGCTTAAATGGGAGAAATACTGGGAACTAGAATCGGCGGGCCTTCACGAATTCGGAAACCCAGAAAAGGAAGAAAAAGATCGTCAGGACAAGGAAGTTTGGGACAACTTCAATCACACTATCGAACGCAGAAGTGACGGTTATTATGTGAAGCTTCCATGGAAACACGATCATCCGCAACTTCCTGATAACCACGCAATAGCAATGCGTCGTCTTCATAGCGTTTGGAATTCACTGCAGAAGGACCAGAGTCTCCTTCAGCGTTACGATGCAGTTTTCCAAGAACAACTACAAATGAACATCCTTGAAGATATTCCAGAAGACAAGCCGACACCAAAGACTAGGGTACACTACCTCGCACATCAAGCAGTGATGACACCTAATAAATCAACGACAAAACTCCGGATAGTATTCGACGCATCTGCCCATTACAAAGGATGCCCATCGCTGAACGAAGTTCTCCACAGAGGTCCAGTGATCCTTCCACAATTGTTCGGAATACTCCTCAGATTCAGGATTGGAAAAATAGGAATCATCTCGGACGTGGAAAAAGCATTTTTACAAGTAAGGCTCCATGAAAGCGAACGCGACTCCACAAGATGCCTGTGGCTGTGGAATTATAAAAGACCACCTGACCCCAACAATGTCAGAAGCCTCAGATTTACGAGAGTGGCTTTTGGATTAACTGCTTCACCATTTCTTTTGGCAGCTACTACTCATTACCACTTAGATACATACTCAAGTGAGCGCGATTTAGTTCGCGAAATCAAGAACAATCTCTATGTCGACAACGTCCTATTGACGGCAGAAAGTCACAATGAAGCCCGTCATAAGTATATCAAGTGTAAGGAAATGTTCAACGCCTTGAACATGAACCTCAGAGAATTTGTATCCAATGATGAAAGACTAATGCAAGTCATGGAGGACAAGGACCGCTCAGCTGATCTTCAGCCAAAAGTGCTTGGCATACGATGGAACTCACTGAACGATTACTTTCAAGTGAATTGCTCAATCAGCACAGACACTCGCGTCTCCAAACGTACAGTAGCTCGAGCTGTGGCATCGATATACGACCCTTTGGGGTGGCTAATCCCACTAACTCACAAAGCGAAGCGATTCCTACAGTCTTTATGGGAAGAAGGTTACGGATGGGATAGCACACTCTCAGCGAGTCATACACAACAGTGGAACAGGATCATCAAGGACATCACAGGATTCGACAAAAAGATCCCACGAGTCGTTGCAACAAGCTCAAGTAATCAAGTTATTGTGACGTTTGCTGATGCCAGCTCGGAGTCAATGGCTGCATGCGTGTACCTGTGCAATCCGGCATCAACTCATCTCCTGATGGCACGTGAACGACTTCCATCGTTAAGAAGTGCGATGACAATGCCAAAAATGGAACTTAACGCTATCACATTAGCTATGCGATTGACCGAAACGGTAGTCAAGGAACTCCGGTCTGCGATACAGATCAAGATTATCTACATCTTCTCCGATTCGGAAATCGTACTGAGCTGGGTGAAGAATCATCCCATAGCCGAGAAAAGTGTGATGATCACCAATAGGCTCAAAGAAATTGACAGAATAGTAGAGCATCTGCAATCGCTCGAGTATGAAGTATACTTTGGACATGTCGACTCAGTGCAGAATCCGGCTGATTGCGCCACGAGAGGATTGAAAAAGGACGAATTCGCAAATCATTTCTGGTGGAAAGGACCTACCTTTTTGAAAGAGATGGGAAGCAGCTGGAAGAAAAGGAACATGACGTTCAAAATCAAGTCGGAGGAAGAGAGTGAAGGGCAGAACATACTTGTGACAGCAGAGGTGCAATCAAACGAAAACAGAGCTGACAGCTCTCTGGTAACGCCTAAACAGGCTACAACATTAACACAAGCAAAGCGTATTATTGCCTACGTTCTTCGTTTCATCAGAGCGATTATTCGTCAATTACGAACCAAGCAATCAAGTCAAGTTGAGCTCGCCTCATGGTGGACCACACCATTGGGAATTCATTCCCCGACACTCACAGGAGAAGAAGTTATGGAGGCTGGAAAAGTGATAATTCGTCACCACCAACGGACGGAAATCACGTCTGAAGTCATCAAGAAGCTTTCGTTCTTGAGATTGAGAAAAGACAAAGAAGACATTCTACGATGTTACGGGAGATTAGGCACAAGCGCCTTGGAAACATCAGCGAAGTTCCCTATTTTCATACTGCAGAAATCATTTCTCGCAAAACTTATAATCAACGAGTACCATCAAGCAGCGCATCCAGGCGTCAACCACACCATGTCGCTGATTCGTCAAACATTCTGGATCCCTCAACTGCGTTCTCAAGTCATAAAACAAGTGAGAGGGTGCATCAAGTGCCAGCGTCTCAACAACCTACCATTCACGTACCCGGAGCAAAGCGATCTGCCTCCAGAAAGGGTTCTGAAAAGTAGACCATTTGAACATATAGGATTAGACTATTTCGGACCTCTTCAAGTAAGTACCATGACAGGAGAACGAAGCAAATGCTACGGCTGCATAATCACGTGCATGGTCACTCGCTTGATTCATCTAGACATTGTGTCCGACTCCTCTACCGTATCCTTCTTGAACATGTTGAGACGGTTTTTTGGAAGAAGAGGAATTCCTGTCTCGATTACATGTGATAATGCTCCAACGTTCCTTCTCGGTGAAGAAATTCTACGGGAGCGGATAGATGCAGCCCAAGTTGATCCTTCCATAGCGCGAGTACTGAGCAATAACGAGATCAAATGGAAGCATATCACGCCCTACGCGCCATGGCAAGGTGGAGTATACGAAAGGCTCATCAAATCTGTAAAGTCCACACTCGATAAAACGCTTGGAAGAACCATACCATCACTTGAGGAAATGAGCACGATCATAGTCGAGATCGAGGCGTTTCTCAATACTAGGCCTCTGCTATATTCCGATGCAAGTATGGATCCAGAAAGCATGCTAAGACCAATTGACTTCCTGCAAAACCACATGCAAGTCTATTTCCCTTTCGAAGCGGAGCAAGAAGAAAGTAATGACAGCTCTTACGTCCCATCAGACGAGATTCCATCACTCAAAACAAAACAACAAACCATTCTGGCTTTGCAAAGTTCTGTGAACTTAACGGAACGAGCCTGGAAAATATGGCAGACACAGTACTTGACAGCGCTTCGCGAACGGCATCAAATAAATCTAAAAACGAAGAAAGGGGGAGTGAATATACCTCGTAAAGGGAATCTTGTTCTGATTCACGATGAAACACAACCACGGCACTCATGGAAGACGGGCCGTATTGAGGACTTATGTCCCAACGCACAAGGAATCATTCGAGAAGCAGTAGTTCGTCTATCGCGGCGACGCATACGGCGTCCTATCAACTTACTGATACCCTTAGAGCTCGAAGGAACAACGAATAACGAAACGGAATACGAAAACTCAAGTAGCATTGAAGGCACATCTTTACGTTCAAGTTCGCAGCATAGCTTGCGACAACGGCGTCCGCGAACAACCGCTTCGATAAATACAATAGTAATGATAAGTCTTATGAGCTGCCTATTTGCAAGTTCCGTTCTTATCGCAGAAACTAGCGATACCCGCATCATACAACTTAAACTAAAAGTTGCCAATTTCTACAGTTGTTATTCAGAAAAGGGAAACACCAAGTACTTTCCCCAAGTTCCTCTGCTCGAAAATGAGCTACTTTGGAGAACTATCAATAGCCAATGGTCAGTAGGGGAAAGCATCCCATTTCCAAGTTTTCTTTGCCTATGCACGCCCTCAAGAAAACTCAAACGAAAAGCGTTATTACGCAGTTTCAAGTTTAATGTGTTATTCAAGTTTAACCTCAGTCTAATCGAGTTTGCAACATTATGTGTTCCCGATTTCAGGCTGGATCCACGCGATGTGGAAGGAGGTCCCAAGTATCTGAGCCGTATGATACTAGAGTTAAAGCCTACGAGCCAGAGATTAGAAGGAGACCTAACAGCTGTCCTCAACGAAATAAAAGTTCAAGTGAATATCACTACATCACTGCGAAACGAATGGTTTCGCCTCCTTTGCAGTACCACACTTCACGAGATGGGAACAGCTGAAAGACCTCAGCTTCTGAATCAGCATCTACTAACGGCCAACCTCACAAAAGAGCGACTCCTGCGTCTCGGCACTCGTATTTGTTCGACGGACCGAATTTATGGAGAGCAATGCCAAAGATCAGGAGTTGGCGGCCAGGAGAGAAGAGTGGTTACAGATAGAAAGTCATACCAAGGACGTGATGGCGCTCATCGAGCGAGATGTACGACGTTGGGAACAACGATAAAAGAAATCACGAGAGTACATGGTGACGGCCGAAAAGAGAGCTCAAGTCGAACCGGAGAGAATTGGAGGCAGCAGAGGTCCTTACTAAGAGTGTGAAGGCAATGCAAGATCAGTTGCAGGCGTTAAGGATGGAGCCAAGAAATCCGATGAAAGCGTGAAGGCTTCTCGACCCGACAAACCCCAACCATCGCAGGAGACCGACGACCAATATTTCGATCGTTTGCTTCGTGAGTCAAGTGGTGATCAAGTCGAAGAGACGCAGAAAAACGAAGGAAAGGAAGATGGAAACAGTCATCGGACAGATGCGCCCGAGAAACCGTGCAGCAGCAAAACTTGTTCAAGGAAGAGAGCATTAACCACGAAGAATCCACTGCTTCATTAGCCGAGACAACCAAGTGCTCGGGAACTATGCAAAGAAGTCGAAGCCTGCCACTAGCCAGGAAGCAGCAGATGAAATGGCGGCCATTCGGACAGAAATTGAGTAAATGGATGCTACCCTGTCAAAGTACCATACAGGATTATAGTCGACTATTCTGAAGGCATTGACCCTAAAAATCGACTGTTCTTCTGCGGAGTCGTGGGTGCCCGATGCCTATGTCTCGAGGATTCGTGCCCTAATGTCGTCGATGGAAATCAGAGGCTAGAAGTTGCAAAATATTGTGGCAGATGTTTCAAGTGCATGAAGTTTTGCCACGGCACGTGTAAAAAGAAGGAGAAGGGGTGCTGGTATTGTAAGCCGCTCCAAGGAACACCTTTTGCGGACATCATCCCACCGTATACACATCACCGCGCAGTTTGCCCAGCACCAGACAAGAAGGAAGAGTTGCAACTCAGAATGCTTCGCAAAATCGAGGAGCTCACCAATCTGGAGAGAGAGCACTTCTCGTCGTAGGTGGGATTGTCGCGAATGCGACCTAGTTTTTCCTTTTGTTCTTGTGTTTGTTTATCCTTTAGTGTGAATAATATTTTCAATGTTTTAATAATTCAGTTGTTCAGCCTTTGACCGGATGGATTCGATTGTAGGCATGATCTGCGGGATGATCTGGCGGGATCGAGGCAGCTATAAAAGGGCAATCTCAAGTACACTGGATCAATATCGTCTCAATACCTCGATACCGGCTCAATTCGTCTTATTCGGCTGGGCTCAGGCCCCGATCTTCTCAATCATATCATTGTGTTCGCTTATCCCAAGTAAAAATTCAAGTAAATCTTGTTTCTTATCGCGAGCTCAAGTCAAGTCATCTCGATTACTCAAGTAGGAAAGAATCAAAGTGAATCTGTTTAGGCCTCCAGTTGGTATCGCTATCTCCAGCCTAGTCGAGAGCATTTGAAGTCTCAAGTTGCTTTAAGTGAATCTTTCACACTTGTCTTGCTTCCACTAAAGTCGATTCAAGTCGGAATTTGTTCAGGGCTTCAAGTTACTGAGAAAACCGCGTGGCTGGACACGTCCATAAGGCGAGCAAAACCCCACAAATTCCGATACAGGTCATCATAGACGTCAAGAGGGGGGGGGTCCGACAGGGCGACACCATCTTGCCCAAACTCTTCAGCGTCGCGTTCGAGAACGTCATGCGTCAACTGGAATGGTAAGACATGGGAGTGAAGGTCGACGACCGGCAACTACACTACCTTCGTTTTGCTGGCGACGTCGTTCTTATAACGCCGAACATCGAGCAAGCGGAGCGAATGCTGGCTTATTTCGACTGCGGTAAGGTTGGTCTGCAGCTGAACCTAACGAAGACGAAGACGATGTTATGAGAAGCAGATTGGTTCCTGATGCCCCTTTCACGCTAACGGAAGGGACTTCACCGAATGCTCCAGCTGCGTGTGCCTAGGTCGAGAAATCAATATGATGAACGACCTAGCTCCAGAACTGAGCAGGAAGAAACGAGCGGTTTGGGAGTGTATAAGAACATCGAGGGAGTAGTGAAGAAGACGATGAACATCTGGCTCCGTGCCCATCTCTTCGATTCTGCAGTCCTTCCTGCCTTAAACTATGCCTCAGAGACTTGGACTCTGCGCAGGCAGGACGAGCATGCGGTCAGCGTTATCCAGCGCGCTGTCGAGAGAACGATGCTTGGAGTAACTCTTCACACGCGAATGGAGAGGGGAATTCGGAGTTACAAACTACGCCAACGGTCGAGGATCAGGGACGCTGCCGCTTTCGCCAAGGAATCGAAGATAAGGTGGGCCGGCCACGTTAAGCGATTTGTGATGACCGTTGGAGCAGAGTGGTTACACTGGATCCTCGGGACGTCAAACGGACACCTGGACGACCGCCGGCTCGATGGTCAGATTTATTCACGAAAGCTCTGAACGAAAGGAATGAAGGGCATCGTGTTCCTCGAGCGAGGAGGGTCCACTGGACAACTCTTGCACCCGACAGGGACGAATGGAGGCGTTGCTAGCGCCCGCTGAAGCAATTCGATGATCAACGGGAAGGCAGGTGATACAGGTGATACTTTACAGGTGCGTCAAACCACTCCGCTGGGAGTGCATGATGCCCATGTCGCTCTGGTCCAGAATGATTCGCGACCAGCCAAGCGGAGCTCTGTAGTGGCGTTTCAGCATCTGGCCGGATAGCAAAATACTGATTTGGTTTTAAGGGCTCATGCCGTAAGCAGTAGCCACATCAGGACCAACCTAGACGAGGACCGACTTCTCTTCGAGTAGGGAACGGTAAAGACCGTTGGGAGTATCAGAAGGAACACTGAACTAGTTAATGGAGCCGGCAGGGAGAGACACTAAACTAAATTGATGAAGTGAAAGTTCATAGCAAAGGGAGTCCTTGAGCGACCACACAGACGAAAATAGAATGACTCGACTAGCGATGCCTTGTTCCATGCTACCAGAGTGGCTGCGGTTCCCCGCAAAATCGATGTTGAGAGCAAAGTAGGTGGTCGAGGTGGCTGACTACGGTAGGAACCAACACACCCGGGTAAAACCTTAGGGAGCGATACTCGCGAATTGCAGCAGGGCGGCCGAGTTTATTGGCAGTGTGTGGATTATTACTGCTTGGAGCGGCGTGCTAGCCGCGTGAATACAGTAGTGGCGGCATCTGTTCGGCTTTGTCAAGAAGTTTTCTTACGCTTCCACTGCGGCGGACCCGTGCACATATCTCGAGTGCGAGAGGTAAGCACGCCAATCCCAACAATTCGAATAATCCACAAAGTTCAACCTTACTCTTCCTTTTTTCGTTTGTTTGATCCTTTATCATTCTCCATTGCATCCTTGGTCGGTTGGGCTGTTATTTAATCCTCGGTGGATTTGGGGATTTCACTTATTCCATTAATGTTGTGCTGTGGGTCTACTTGTTCCCCTTCTTGGCCATGCGGGTATTGTACTGAACAAGTTCTTTGCTCTTCCACGAATGGTAGCCTTCGGATTTATTATATTATCGAAATACCTACGGTCATTGAGTAGGTTATTGCAGAGCTATTGCTACATTGAACATTGAACGAGCCGCAGACCGTAGGATATTGCACACGCAGAGGACGAATCCGGATCTTTCATATCTTGCTCTCTGGCAAGCTCCTCGACGGCACCAAGAATGACAACATAGCGCAGTCTGGAAAAGCATTTTCGAGAGATCAGCGTAGAGATAAGAAAAACTCCTGTGAAAGTACGAGAAAAAACTTTCTAATCGTATTGATCGATAGCGTAGCTATACTCCCGCCGGCTTATTGCTAACGCCCACTTGCCCACAGCTTTGTTTTTATTTTCTCAATTCTCCCGGCAAGGCTCCGCGTCTGAGATCGTGCGGAGTGCTCGATGATGTCCATCGTCTCGGGAGGTCGGCCCACTTAAAACCGTATTGCTCACAACAACCACCATGACTTGGGCTTGCTCGCACACACCCTTTCTGGATCGCAGTTCCTCAAACAATATTGACAAAGGTCTTCGTCTAGAATGAAGTTCCATCCGTCCTTTCCTTCTACTATTTCAGAACATGAATCCGAATAGTGATCGTTATGTTTCCCACTGAAGCTACGTGGAGGGCTTCCCCTAGCCTTTCCAATCTTCCGCTTTGGCAAGTACTCGTAGCTATGGTGGAGCTCAGCTAGCTCTTTTTCCATCCTTTCCCTAGCTTCGTCTGTCAACATCATTTCCTCTTCACCAGGCATTTCCGCAACTTTATCTTGCACTGGCTAGTAATGGGCTCTTTTTCTTTTACCCTTAGCAGGCAGCTTACTAAGGTCCATTTTCTTCCTTTTGGCTGACACCATCTCATCTTTGTCGTCCGCCATCGACACACACTCCACTTGTTCATCGTATTAATCTTTACTTACCTCGATCAGCCAGACGAGGTGTTCTTCGTCTGATAACGGCTGCCTTTCATTATCTTCCTTTACACAGTTTTCCTGCAACTCATCTTCTTTTTCCGGTTCCCTTTCCAGCGGTACGAATTCACCCGAATATCGCCCATGAGGCGCCACATCTGCAATCTTCTGATCAACGCATTTAAGAGTCTCTTTATCTCGGGAAAGCATCTTTTCCCCTTGTTGAGTATGTTCTCAAGTCTCAGCAGCTCATCCTCCATCTCTTCAATATTGGTGTCCAGCATTTTAAAAGTTTTCTGGATGTTGCCCATCTTGATTTCGGGCACTTCCGGACTTGGTCGGTTTTCCTGTGCAAAGTTGAAGAAAGAGCACATCAGAAACAACTGCTTGGTGGCAAATAGAAGTTTCCCTTTGTATTAGCGGCACTTCTGACTTTCTATTCAGGAGGAGAACTTGTTCTCCTGCTCCTGACTCCAAGCAAGTGTGTTGCAATATATGTTGTATCCAGTGATTGCTAACCGCGTAGGCCACCTCGTCATGTGTCAACAGTTCTACTAAAGTGGGGTTCCCTCCTTGTCCCACACTTTCATTCTAACCACTTTACCACTTTAGGTCCACTGTCCTTATCGAAGCTTGCTCTAACCGACCCTAGCTTTTTCGCTCAAATCAAGACCATGTTCATGTCGTATAAATTGAGATTAATGATGATCTAAAAACGAATCCATGGAAGCATAGCTGTCACTAGTACCTAGTTAGTTCTTTTTTCTAGCTGACTCATTTCTTTCAGGGAGCAGACCAGCGACGACGCCGACACGAGGGGACGTCTGGCAGCAACGGCCGAGGACCGCGACCTCTTGCTGATCTCCGTTTCTCACCTCTCCTATCCAAGGGCGACGCCCTTTGCGCGAGCTGCATCAAGACCTGGGACGGTAGTAAACTAGTAAACTTGCACGTTAACGGGCAGTTTTAATGAGCATGTCACGTGGAGGTGCAAGCTTTTCCGATGATGGTGGAAATCGCTTCCATGGCACCTAGGAAACCTATTAACGAAGCTCTCGAGAAAGCTTTCCAGGTGAGCTGCAGTTCCCTGGCAGGGTGGTTC